AGCTCAGGCCCTCGGGAGTCTCCCGGCAAGAGCGAGGGCTTCCCCGGCCCGGCTGGGATGGCACGCCTCCTCTCTGCCCTGCCCCTTCCCTCCGGGGGGCTCCACTTGCCAGCGGGCTTCCCTCCGGCTTGCCTTTAGCCGCCCTCGCTGGCCGCAGGATGGGCCAGCCGGTGGGCACCGGGCAAGCGGGCGGTGGGTCAGGGTCCAGCGTCTCGGGAGTGGCTCCCTCCAGCCCCGGGAGGCGATCGCAGTGGGAGCGCAGAGGGGCTCACCCGATTCTGGGGGGAGGCCAAACGGGCAAGCGGACCGAGAAGACTCCCGGGCAGAGCGAGGGGGCCAGCCCTTCTCAGGAAAAGAGGGAGGCATGTCGGGGCAGGCGGGTGGGGGGAGGCGATGGAGAAAGCCCCCTTGGCCCTGTAAGGAGGTGCCAAGCAAAGCGGCCGGCCAGCTGCAGGGGCCGCCGTTCCTGCCGTCCAGCCCTCAGCCAGCAGGAGGCGCCCTGAGCGGGAGGCAGAGTCCTTCCCCAAGGATGCTCCGGCTCGGACCGGCTCCTCGCACGGGCAGGTGCTTCGCAGGGAAAGCGCTGCCCCCGTGTCCTTGCAGCCGGCCATGTGCAACGCAAGCCATCCGTACTCCCGAGGTTTCTTCTGCGAGTGCTGCAGAAGAGAGCAGGTCCGGGAGCCGCGGGCCGCCCATTCAGGGGCCCACTCGGCCGCTGCTCTCAGGCCGGTGAGCCCCGCCTGGAATCCGCCGAGCACCGCTCTGCCCCGTGACGGCCTTCTCCGTGGGGTCCCCCTCGCAGGTCCAGCACGGCGACGCCGCGACCGACTACGTCCACTTGTGGGTCTTCCAGGCCCTGCCGTGCTACGGCGGGGGACTCAAGCTCTCCAGATACCAGCTGGGCAAGACCAGAGACGACCCCATCCCCTAGCCCCGAGGGCAGCCCTGCGGGGAGGAGCCGCGTGCAGGAAGGAGCTGCGTGGATGCAATAAAAGTGTCACGCTGAGCCCACCCCAGGCCTCTCTGTGCTTTTTTGCCCCCCATCCGTGTTCCCAGAGCGCCTCCCCCTCCCTCTGGCAAAGAGGCTTGGCTTGGCTGCTCTGCCAAGCTGCCCCCTGCCCCACGCAGGAGCCCCATGCAGAGAAGCGACGGGCGGCCCGGGCTCCCCCAAGGCACGGCGGGAGACTGCAGCGGGGGGGGGGGCTGGGGCTTCCCCCCTTTCCTCCCCCCTTGCACAGGGCTGCCCCGCTAGCAGGGCATCTCCCGTGGGCCCCTGTCCCCGTGCACAGACCTCTCTCAGCCACCGGGCACTGCCCCTCCTCCTCCTCCTCCTCCTCCTCCAAACTGCTTGATTGGGGGGCAAAGAGGCCTGGCAGAAAGCGGACCCCAGCTGCCCCTCCTCCTCCTCTTGCCGTCATTTCGGGGCCCAGCAAGAGCAAGGCGAAGGGGGGCTGCAGCGGGGTGGGACGGAGTGGCCCCGGGGCTCCGGGCAGCCCCCGTGTGTGGCTTGCGGAGCCCGTGGGCTTCTGGGCCAGTGGAAGCCAGAGCCCGAGTAGCCGGGTCCCGGGCCGCCACTGCCTCTTGTGCTGGCGCGACCTGCCCTCTCCCCCTCCACCGCCGACTCGTTTGCTTTGCCCCCCCGAACTCTGCCGGGGCGCCCCAAACAGCCGGGTCCACCGCTCCCTCCCCGCACTGCTGGGCCTCACAGCCGCCCGGCCGCTGGTCCTCGTCCATCACGGTGCGGCCGTGGGAGGCGACGGGCTCCGCTGCGCTTCGGGCTTGCCTGCCGTCCAAGCCCCAGGATCCCGGCCCGGAGGGAGGCGAACCAGCTCAAGAGTCCAGCAGTTCAGAAGGAGCGAATCAGCGGCAGAAAGATTCAGGAGAAAGCGGGACTCAGTGATGGTGATGCATCCACCTTTCCGAGTCTGGTGAGGAGCTCGCGGCGGCGTTCATAGCTCCATTTTATCCTCAGCACAACAGCCCCGTGAGGTAGGCTGAGCTGAGGGTCTGTGGATGGCCCAAAGTCACCCCGTTAGATCCATGACTGAGTGGGGACTCGAACCCGAACCTGTATCTCCTGGGCCCCCAGTCCAGCAGTCCTGCCTCTGCACCACACTGGCTCTCAGGATTGCACTCGTGGGTCGCCAAAAGTGCCGGGCTCCCCCCACCCACCTCCCTCGGACTGCGGAGTCCTCGGCCGCGGAGCAGCTGCCCTTTCGTATTTCAGAGCGAACTGCATGGACTCCACAAAACCCCCAGCCAACCGAACCAGCGACAGCAAAGGCATCTTGCATTTTTCCCAGCCATCTCAGGGTCAAGGTCCTCCAATGGCACAAGCCGCCCGGTCCTGGCAAGCCAGGGGGGCCTTTTATTGCTGCTGCAAAAGCGAGTCGTGAGAAGCCAGAGGCAACCTCTCCTGGCCGGGCGGAGTTTGCGACGCAGGTCCTCGCACCCTCGACCGCCTCTCCCCGGGCCGGCCTCGTTCAGCAGCGACCTCGTTCCGGCAGCAAAAGGTGGCGGGAAGGGCATTCCTGTCCACTGGTTTCTGGGAGAGGCAGGAGGACGCGGCTCAGCAAAGAAGAGGCACCTTGGATGCCAGGAGCCTCAGCAGCAGCCTCTGCCCTCCTTCCCTGCTGACGTGGGAGGGATTTGCTTCCGCTTGCAAGTCAAGGCGGCCAGGCCTGCTTGCCACCAGGCTGCGGCTGCGGGAGGGAGGGGCCTCGCCTCGGGGATGCTGGGGCATGCAGGCACGAGCGCCCGGCACATCTGGGGCTCTCCGGGCTGGGGGAGGCGGCCGTAGGGTCCAGCGGCTGATGGGGACGGAAAGCCCCGCGAGGCGCTCCGGATGAGGCCCCGAATAGCAGCGCACCCTTCCCAGCCCCTCCGCCCTGCCGCCCCTCGGCAGCCCTGCTCGCTCTTGCAGACTCGGGCTGCGGCTTCCTTGGCGGGGCGGGTCCCTCTCGCGTCCCATCGTCCCCTTCTGCTTTGGCTTCGGCTTCCCCTAGCGTGCCCGTCCCCTGGAGAGGGCCCTGCCAGTGTCACTTCCTTTCCGCGCTGATCCAGTTGCAACATCAGTGAAGCAACTGCTTTTGCTCTTCCCCGGCCGCTGGCCGGGCACCTTCCAGCTCGGAGGTCCCATCCGCTGCGTGACCTCCTGCTCCATCTCGCAGCGCTTCATGTGGGGCTCCCAGGGACCCACGTGTAGCAGCGGGCTGCCCCGGCTGCCTTCTGCATGGCGTTAGCCAGAGTTAGCTGGGGCTCCTGGGGCGCCTGCAGCCACCGCTGCTCCCTCTGGGCCTTTCTCCCCCTGTCTTCACTAGAGCGCCCCCCCTCTCGTCAGATGATTCCCTGAAGAGGGTGGTGCACCTCAGCTTGACCAGTCCTCTTGGGCGACCCTGCAGGGGACAGCCTGGCCTCCCCTCCGCCGAGGTGGGGGCTTCCACAGGAGACGCCCTCCCCCACGCTGAGCTAGGAACGTTGCTTGCAGAGAGTCTGGGGCCTGAGCTTCCATCCCGGAGTTTGCACAATGAAACAGCCAAGCGCCTGGTTCTTTTTCACTGGCACCCCTGGATTTCCCAGAATAACCACCAGGTTTTCCCAGAATGCCCCTGAAGTCTCAGAATTCCAGGGCATTCAGGAGGGAGGGCCCTGGAGAGGGTGGCAACCAGCAGCCCACGATGCCCACCCACGCGGGAGCGACATCCTGGGCAGGAAAGGTGGCCCCCGGCTGGGCAGGGCTCCCCCCACACCACTGGGGCCACTGACGGCGGACGAGGTTGGGTTGCAACTCCCAGAAAAAGCCGCCCCGCTCCCCCAGCTGCCCTTATAGCCCATCTTTCCTGTGAGGAGCAAGGCCACACACACGAATCTCTCCAATGCAGCACAACAACCCTGGGAGGTAGGCTAGGCGAAGAGTCGGGGGCTGGCCCAGAGCCACCCGCTGAGCCGCACAGCCAGGTGAGGACCAGAACCGGATCGCCCGGGTGCTGGCGCAACACACTCCCCAGCGCACAACCCCGAAGCAGCCCTTGAGGGAGGGCGAGGGCAGGTCGACCCAGCCCGGTTCTGCCGGTTCTGCCTCCAGACGGGCCGCCTGCCCTTTGGCCCAAGCCCTTTCAGCTAGGAGGGCCGGGTCCAGCATGCCCAGCAGGGCCTCCGCCACGAAGCCGGGCTGCGTCCCCTCTGACCCAAAACGCCACTGGCCGCGCTCACACAACACAGCCGCGGGCCAGGAGCAGCCCAAGTGCAACCCCCGGCGTTCGCACCCCCGGAGCCGCCTGCAGCTCGCCAGGCGTGGCGGGACAGCAGATGAGGACAACCCGCTCTCCACCCCGTCCAGCCAGCCTGAGGGAAGGTGCTGGCGCTGCCGGAAGACAGTCCTTGGGTTGAGGTGCGTGAGAAAGAGAACGGCCCCCGCTGGACCCGGGGCCGCAAAATGCGCTCTTGGGCGGGAGGCTCACGGGGGCCGGCGTTGTCCAAGCCGGCTGTTGTGGCTCCGGATCGGCTGCCTCATCCGGCTGACGGAGGTGCACCGTGTGGCCTCCCCAGCCCTGCCACCTGGGACCCCGCGAGGTCCAGATACCGGGTGCGGGACCTTCGACCCTTTGCTCTGCACCAAGGCCCAGTCGAGGAAAGGGACGTGGCAGGCCAGTCGCCAAGGGCTGGACCGGATGCGCTGCCAGCGGCAAGACGATGCTTCGGCACCCCAGAGCATTCGAGGCACACGAACACCCCACTCCTACGGTGGCTGAGACGCCCCGGTTCCTCCCAGGTGCTCCTGGTTTTGATCCCCACCTGCTTGAGGGCCCGTTTTGTCAGCTTCTGTAAATGCTGTTGCCAGTGTAATTGCCGTTGTCGTGTTGCAAGCCACACCGGGAGCCGCACGGAGGGCCGAAGGACAGTCCACAAATGGTTTTATACACGGCCACTGCAGGTCTTCGTTTCCCTCCCGCTCGCTCACACCAGAGAAACCCCAACATCAGCCGTGAAGTTCAACTTACCTTCCCATTGGGACTGGCCTCCTTGAACACCCTGCAAAACGAGAGGGGCAGGTATTGCCGGGGCGGCCGCGGCCCCTTTCCCCGCCTCTTGGAGTCCCGCACCTGGCCTGCCCGCTTCGGCTCCCTCCCGGCAGGGGACACCCCCGGGCGCATGGGCTGGTGGGGCCGCCGGCAGCCGACGCTGGCCACCCGCTGCTGCTCCGGGGCCCCCGCAGTTTCCCCAGGAGGGCGGCTCGCCTCACGGGGGCTTGGGAAACCCGCTCTTCTCTCGGAAGGGGTTAGCCCCCGGGACGCCCGGCCCTCCTGCTCCCGCCTGCACCTGCGCCTGGCCCACGTTGGGGCCTGGGTGGCGAGGGGGGCAGGGCACGGCCTTCCATCCGCCGGCCCAAACCTCCGGGGGGGACCTCTGCACCGAGGCCAAATCCCTCTGCAGGACAGCGCTGGCAGACACGTGTGTGTGTGTGTGTGTGTGTGCGCGCGCGCGCGCGCCCCCCCCCCCCCCAAGCTGAAGCTGACCCTGCAGGGGTGGGCATGTCAAGGTGGAGGGACGGGGCAGGTGGGGGGCTGGCCGAGGGCGCCCGGCCTTCTCTCTCGGGATGCGGGGCCATTTCTGCGCCTGGCTTCAGAGGCGCTCCGGCCGAGGGGGACCGGGATCAAGGCCCCGCCGGTGTGGCCTCTGCAGGGCGCGTTCACACAGCCGTGGTGTGCAGCTGGGGGGGATAGCCCCCCGTTCTGGTTCAGAATGTCCCGCCGGGGGCCGGCCGTGCAGCTGGCGGTGGGTGGGGGTCCCCACGCTCGAGTGGAAGGGCCCTTTCTGTGTTCCTCCGTGGCCCCCTGCAACATGACCCCCGTGGATGCGCTGGCCCATCGGTGCAAGAAAACTCATCCCGTGCCGGGGGAGCAGCGCCCCAGCAATCATAAGAAGAGGGCCAAAGGCGGAAACGCCGCCCGAGAGAAACTGCCGCTCGGGCGCCGGCTGCGCAGCTCCAGGGGCTGGTTGCCATGCCCACGGGCCGTGGGCCGAGGGGCGCCTGGAGGACCCCCGCCCCCCGCTGCTCCGGCGGACCCTGTGCAGCTGCGGGCCCCCGGCTCTCCCCGGTCGCCAGCGCCGTGCAGGGCCTGCTGGGGCCCAGGGCAGCCGGAGGCCAGGCGCCCGTCCTGAAGGCGCTCGCGGCGCTCCGGTCCCTGCCCTGGAAAGCACCTTGTGAGGCTGGACAGGCCGTGGGAAGGAGCAGCCACGGCCGCCCAGGGGCTGCAGCAGCCCCCGCAAGGCCAGGCCCGGCCCGGCGGACAGCCCGGTGCGGCTGAGCTCTGGGGAAGGAGGGCAAGGGGAGGCACGGCAGGTGGCCAGGACCGTGCGCGGCAGGGAGAAGACGCGCCCTTTCCTCCGCTCCCATCGCACTGGAATTTATGGGGCCGCGAAGCGCGATGGTGGGGAATTCGGGACAGATCAAAGGGAGGAATATTTGCACGATGCGGAGCTACTTTAGCACTGCCATGGACTTCAGCCTTCTCCTGAGGGCCCTGGACAGGCACGTGGCCACCTGCCACCCACTGCGCCACGCAGGCATCATGACCAGCAGCCTGCTGAGGGTGCTGCCCTCGCCTCCTCAGCCCGGAGCCTTTGCACGGCTGCCCCGGTGGTGATCCTGGCTTCCCGGGTGCGCTATTGCCTTCGAGCATCACCAGCCAGTTTGCCTGTGAGCACATGGCCCTCATGAGGCTGTCCTGCGAAGGCACCTCCGCAAGCAAGCGAGTGCGGCTGAGCGGAGGTGCGTGGACAGCGGCCTCGGCCTCCTGCGGGCTTCCACAGCGGCAGCGCCTGCGCCACTCTGCTGGCTGCTGGCCATGCCCGCCACAAAGCCCTCCACACCTGTGGCGCCACCTCGCCGTCCTCATCAGCCGCTACTCTTGCCTGTCCTCTTCCAGCGCCTCCCGCCTGGCCAGAGCCACCTCCCCAGACACCCACCACCTGCTCAGCGCAATCTGCCTGCTGCTCCCCTGGGCTGCCCACCCTTTTCTCTACGGCACAAGGACCAGCGTGATCAGGGTCAACCTCTTCAGATTTACTCCAAAGGTGTTGCATTTCCCTCTGTGCAGCAGGTCTTGAGCGAGAAAGACAGCCAACCTTCCCCGGAGCCTCTGGCCTGATCCTCACGCAGCCACTGGGGCAAAGGAACTTCCGAGGGGTTCACAGGCGAGACGCAACCCGCCAGAAGCGGCCACAGGTTCTGCTGAGTTGCTGGAGGCCCCAGTCCAGATAAAGGGCTTTTATCGGGCTGCATGTGTTTGTGGCTTCAACAGTTATGCATGTGGTTTCCCTCTTGCGTTCACTTCCCTGCAGCCTTCCCTGTTCAGAGCTTTCCCCAGCAGCACCAGCACCAGCAGCACTGGGGGGGGGGGGCACCCCGGAACCCTCCAGGCTTCTGCTGAAGTGAAGCGACGCGTCCGCCAGGCCCCTTCCAGGCATCGCAAGCCCGTTCCTGCGCATGCACTACTTTGCCTCGGCTTCGCAGTCCGGCCTGCGTTTGGCTCCTCCCTTTGCTCCCAGCCGGAAGGGCGGACTCGGGGGGAGGCCGTCTGGGGCCGATGGCAGACATGCTCTTCGGAGAAATGCCGGCCGAGTGCTGCTCCGAGAACTCCGGGGGATGCCAAGGGCCATTTGACGCTGCACCCACGGGGGGCGGGGGAAGGCCTCCTGGCACCATTTCCCACCCATACACGAGCGCTGCTTCTGCAGGACAGGAATTTTTCCCTGGAGCCATTTGTGGCTCTTGCGGGGGCACAACCGGAGGCTACGCTCCGGGCGCTGGCGGAGCACCGGCCCCAGACTGCCCACCTGCGGTCTCAACCAGCCCTCCTCCTGCAGGCCAGCCAAGGCTTGGAGCGCCTCCCTCGCACTCACGGAGGCATGCAGAGGAAGGCGCCCCCTGCACGGCTGGCCTCCGTCTTGGAGCATGTGCCCCGTGGGCACCTGTGGCGGCCACCTTGCTGCTCCGGATGCATCTTCCCTTTGGTGTGAAGACCTTTCACGCATTCATCAAGCCCCCGCTCGCTAAGGGGCGTTCAGAAATCAAGAATTGGCAATGCCGGCATTTCTGCAGATGCGGAGTCAATTGCAAGCCAGGGGGCCTTCCCCTGAGGGGGTGACACCGCATCCCCTGCTGTCCAGATGGAGGCAGCCTGATTGCATGAGCTATTTGTTAACTGGACAATCGTGCAAGTAAGGGGAAAACACAAGCGCAACACGCATTGCCCCTTTCCATGGTGCCTTTTCTTGGATTCTGCACGCAGCAGGCAGGTGAATTCTTCTAAGGAAAAGCGGAACGTAAGACCATGAGATGCAGGAAGGAGCCCAGGGCGGTGCTTCTGCGCGCACTTTTAAAAGGGGGAGCCCCGCTGCAGACCGCACGTCGCTCGGCAAAGGGATCCCACAGCCGAGTGTCGTGCTGGAAGCGCCCCAGAACTGCGATGAGTCTACACAAAGGCAAGACACGGAGCGTTGTTACTTCTCGGGCAGAAGCCCACCGTTCGCGGGCTCTGCAACCACAAGGGGGCCGGACGCCAGCCTCATATCCTAAGCTTTATTGATGCACCGAATTAGCTCAGAGGAGTCAAAACTGCATGCCGAGGACCCGAATTCAATAAATAATCTAGAACTAGGTCATTGATTTGCATTAGAATGGCTAGGAGGTTAAGTAGAAAAGCAAAGTTATTTTTATATTTATAGAAAATATCTCAGCTCAGTAACCACGGTTCTTGAAAGACAGCAGAGCGAGTGGTAACAGCTTCGTTGCAAAGAGAAACCCTGCTAAATCAAACAGTTTGGATGCGCGATCAAGACTCCCCCGCTGTGTCTGGTGCTTGCACCGCGTGAAAGGGGAACGTGGCCTATGGACTCGGCACGTGCGAGACCTCTCTCGAGACGGGCGGCCCTGGCAGGGAGGCGCTGCGCTGATGCGGCCGTCCAGACGGAGGCGGTCCTGGCTCCCTCCGGGGCCTGCAGCACCCCAAACCCGCCCGCTCCCGCAAGAGCCCTGCACGCACAGGCCAGGGGGCCGCACGGGGCACAGAGCGCTCACAGCGCGGCGGCCAAGGAGCTCGCTGCCTCCGGGAGAGACCGGACAGCAGCGCCCTCGGCAGGAAAGGGGACCGGCCCAGGACCCGGCGACCCACCAACACCGCGGCCGGCCCCTTATCCGTCTGCGTGCCGAGGGAGCGCCGTCTCTCTGCCACAGGCGGGGCCAGCCTGGGAGGGAGCGCCGAGGGGTCCTCGCTCCAACAGCCGCACGTGCAGACCCCCCCCGCCTTCCCTGCCCAACCAGCCGGGGGGCCATCCTAAGGAAGGCAAGCAACCACTGTCCCACCCCGCCCGTTCCTGACCCCCGAAACCGAGAGCTGGCCTCTCTGCACGCCGCCAACCCGTCTAACCCAGCCGAGGAAGGGGAGTGGGGGGCCAGGCGGCGGCGGCACAGCTCCCTAAGACCCGCACATGAGGCACTCGTCCTTGTTCTCCAGGGAGCACACCATGGCGGCCTTGTTCCTCTCCTTCTCCTCCTCCTCCCTGGAGATCTTCTCCTTCAGTTTCTCCTTGTTCAGGGTGAACTGGATCGGGTTGGCCGCTGGCTTGGTCCTGAGGTAGTACATCCCGGTCTTCAGGCCCTGCGGGCAGCGAAACAGTGCAAGAGAGCTCGCTCAAGGCGTCGGAACCGGAGGACACGGGCAGAATGCCGGCAGCTCCCTCGGTGGGGCGGCGGGCCAGGCGCAGTGTGCACGTGGGCCGAGCGCCACGTCCACGGTGCTGGATGGCTTACGACGCCTCCGAGAGGGCAGGGGGAGCAGGGCTCCGCAAGCAGAGCGAGCGAGGGCAGCCGAGAAGAGCTTGCCAAAGAACGGGCTGCTTGCGGGGCCGATCCGGCAAAGGAAGGAAAACGGAGCCTGGCAGGAGGAAGGAAAAAGCAAGGGGCAGGGGGCAAGCCGCTGCCCGGGTGGGAAGCTGCCGCAGGGCCTCTGCAGAGCGAGCGGCGAGGGAGGGCGGGCGGGCCCCGGACTGGCCGGGCCTCAGAGGGTGGCGTGGGAGGGCCCAGCAGACCCTCCCTGACAGAGGAGGGAACTGCCTGTGCTTGGAGTGCGACCGGAAGCAAACCTCGGGGCGGCCTCCCCGACGCCCAGCACGCACCTGCTTCCATCCGTAGAAATGCATGCTGGTCAGCTTGCCGTAATTCGGCTCCGCGATGTGGATGTTCAGGGACTGGCTCTGGTCGATGAAGGCCCCTCGGTCTGCCGCCATCTTGATGATGGTTTTCTGGGAAATTTCCCACACGGTCTTGTAGAGCTGCTTCAGGTCATCCGGAATCTCGGGAATATTCTGCAACACGGAAGGGTCAAAGAACGATGCTCTGGGAAACGGCAAGATGGTTTTCGCCTTGAGCAGCGGCGCTGGGAAGACGCAAGCACACCAAGGAAGCACCCGCGGGCTCTCCAGGAGGCCCGATTCTGACCCAGACAGGGAGGTGGGGAACACGGCTGAGGCCGCAAAGCCACCGTGGCTGGAGAAGCGGAGGCGGGGGGGGGGGGTGACTGGTGCTCCAAGAGACCCTTCCAAAGCCACAGGGACAGTGAGCTGGAGCAGAGAGAAAGCGGAGGAAGGGGCGGCGTTCGGGGACCCAGGGCCAGATGTTGCCACAGCAGCCAGCAGGCTGGCATTCCAAGATGGCTGCCGAGATGACTCTCCCGGGGAAGGACCCGCTCCGAAGGAGGGGCTCCCTGGGCACAGGGTGCCTGAATGGGCCGGGCAAACAACGCTCCGCAGTTCGATCACGACTCTCTTTTCCGCTGCACTGAGGAGGAATGCAGGATGCTAGCACAACTCTGCTTTTTGTAGCACAGCTCTCACTTAACTTTGCAATAAAAGTGAACTAATTTCAATTATAATTCATTTTCTTCTCTCAGGCAGCAGGGGTGACCTAGGGTAGAATGGGCGGGGGGGGGGGGGGGGCGACCGCAAGACTATCTTGAGCTATTCAAGATCAGAAAACACAAGAGAAAAAGAGAATACTTTACTTGCTTCCACCAGGGCAAACCACTCCGATTGTACAGTATCCTAAACAACAGCTTAACAAAATAACCGTGCCACGGATACCACGCAAAATCCATTCTCTGCTTAGTGCTACATTCTTAAAAGCAGTCTTTGCTCAGCACAAACCTGATTTTTAAATCAGACTCACTGCGTGGCACCAACCAGCACTCGGCCACCAAGTCTTGCCTCAAGAGAAGAAGTTCACTGAGCTGACCGCACCGCCAAGGCCGCCATCTCAGCCACGCCTCACTTGCTCTGGGAATCCCCGCGCGGGGCCCCTTTCGAGCTTCCCAGTCCTCTCACGGAGACACACAACTCCTCTAAAGCCAACTAGCAGCCGGAAACATGGCCTGTGGCACAGGTCAAAGGAAACCAAGCGCATTTCCAGTCCACAACAGTCTGGCATGTCTGCAGCCTTGCTGAATGCTAGTGATTTAATTATTCAACAAGTTGTTCACGGGGTAATGCTATGCATCGCCATATAAATACTAGAATGCACAGGACGGCACGGTTTTAGTTTCAAGAGCACACTAAAGGCTGCATAGCCTCTCAGCATTTCGTAACCTCACCCCAAGAGGCGACCACGTGGAGCTATGCTGAACGGCCCGGCGCAGGCCAGGCAGCCCCCCTGAAAGGGGTCTGGGGCTGCTTCCCCAGCATACCTGGATAGAACCGTTGAAGCCGATGATCTGATTCTTCATCTCCTCGCTCCACAAGCCCCTCTCGGTCAGGTCTTTCAGCAAGTGAGGGTTCACGATCTGCAAAACCAAAGAACACCAGAAGTCACAGCCAGCCTGACAAACAACACTGCGCCCTTCCCCGACTGCGAGCACGGCTGAGCGAGTGGCTCTCCAACGCCATGTTGGCCAGCCTCTGTGCGATCGGCTCCCTTCTCATCGGGGCAGCCCCTGAGCCCCGCAAAAAGAAAATGCGATGCCGTGTTGGGGAGCAGGAGGCAGAGTTCCCCCGGGGCAATCAGTGCCTTGCTCTCAGCCACAGGAAGGAGACGGCTCTGCCTCGGCATCCCGCCGCTGTGCTTGGCTAACTCAGCCCTCCCTCTTTTTTTACCTGGAACTCCCCGGAAAGAACTCTGCGCGTGTAGATGTTGCTGGTATACGGCTCGATGGACTCATTGTTACCCAGGATCTGGGCGGTAGACGCTGTCGGCATTGGCGCAAGGAGAAGGCTGTTTCTCACCCCGTGCCTGGAGCACACAGAACAGTGACAAACGGCTTTTGGAAGCCTTTGGAGAATCAGCATTTCTAAAAACCCCACTGCCTGAAACTGAATCCCTGAAACTGCCAAACTGAAATAAGGTGAGCCACGCAGAGAGGCAAAAACAACCCCACCCCCCCAATCCTGGCATGGCAGAGTTGGAGGGGCCAAGGAGGCCACCAGGCCCAAGGGCTCCAAGTCGCACTGTCCCCCCAACAGTGGGATCTGGGATGCCTCCAGGGGGGCAGAGCCCACGACCACCACCACGGGGAAGCTCCACGGCTGCGCTGCTCTCCGGCAGGAGGTTACCCCTGATGTTCAGCTGGAATCTGGCTGCCGTTGGCTGGAGCCTGTCCTTCCGCACCCCGCACACCAGGAGGACCAGAGAGCGGGCCTGGCCCTCCTGCGTGGGGCAGCCTTTCAACGACCTTCAGAGGGTGCTATCGGCCCTCCCCTCGGCCTTCCCTTCCCAATTCCATTAATTGCTCTTCGCAGGGCTTTGTTTCCAGCCCTGGATAGTCCTTGCTGCCCTCCTCTGAACCCTCCCGACTTGTCTGCCTCTTTCTTAGACTGTGGTGAAATCCATTTCACTGTCCATGGAAACAACAAACACCTCCTGTCTCCTTGATGTACGTAAGAATTATACATAACAGACCAGTGACTCATCCAGACTGATTGCAAACATGCACTTTGTCGAGAGAGGAGAAGCCCCCACATCAGTCCAAATGACAGAGACGCGGGCACGTGGAGGCCCGGCCAGCCCCCTGCCATCAGCTCCCGCCTTGTTTTCATAAAGGGACCCCAGCATCTGGATCCGAACTGCTGCCTGCCTGCTTGCAGGAGAAGGGCACACGGAGAGCTCCGATGCGCCTCCCCTCCCTCCGAAGCTGGAGACGCAGAGCCGGCCTCGGGGAGACCAGCTGCCCGGCGCACCCAGCACAGCTGCCGAAGCTGCAGGAGCCCCGGGGGCTACGAGCCTTCCTGGCCACATGCCAGCCCCAGCCTAGAGGCAGTGTGCCCGCTGCTGGGAGACACGGGCAGGAGAGCGCCCCTCCTCTCCGGTGGGGCTTGCGGGCTCCCACGGGCAGCTGGGCGGCTGCCGTACAGGCAAAGCGCCGGACCAGGTGGACCCCTGGCCTGGTCCCTTCCCGGAGCTCTGCACATGCTCGCGTCCTCCCCGCGCCACGCGAGCAGCGCCCGCTGGGCTGTCAGCCCAGGAGAGGCTCTTACTCACTCTGCAATCTTCTCCTTCAGGGCCTTCCAGTCCCAAAGCTCGGTGGGGGTCACGTTCCACATGTCATACTGAAGGACCTGAAGGACATCGCACAGCAGCACGGTCACTGGGTGGAGCGGGGAGGCTTCCCAGCAGGGCTCGCCGGCTCTCTCAGCGAGGAGGCGGCGGCTGGTGGGGAGGGGGGGGCAAACAGGAAGGCAGGGCCCTGGAGGCAGAACGACGCTTTCCTCTTCTGTCACGCGTTACTCTTCCATTTCTGTTTAGGGACCACATGATAAATGCCAAGCACTCTCCTCACACTGAGGTGGGGGGGTCCTCTCCACTGACATGGTTACCAGCTTTCAGTCATGAATTCTTTCATATGTTCCAAGAATATGAGGAACTTCAGTTTTGCCAGAGGCAGCCACGATCAGAAAAAAGCACCTCAAACATGTCGAGGGAGCAGAGCACACGCACCAGCCCTGCCAGGCAAGTCAAATTCTGGGGTCCGGCTTTTCAGGATAAGAACTTCTTGAGTTCTTGGGTTTAGAGGTCTGCAACAGAGAGCTAGTCATCCTGTTTTGGCGTTCACAATATTTTCCTTGTTAAAGTATGAAAACCAGGGAGGGGTTAATTGGGATTCCGGGAAGCACTTCCTGACAGTTAGGACCCCGGGAGTGTGGAATGGGCTTCCACGGGAGGTGGCCGAGGCCCCATCAGGGAGGGTGTTCCAGGAAAGACTGGACACCCACATGTTGGGGATCGCATGAGCGGAGCCCGCTGGAGCCGGGGGGCAGGCCAGATGGCACAGGAGGCTCCTTCTGACCTGTTCTGCTTCCATGTGAATTTGAACAATGCAAGGGCCACAAAAGATGCCGACGGACTTTACGGTTTAGCAGCTTCAGATGCAGGCAAGCCCCTCACTCCAAGGTACAAACATGCGCAAGGAGAGCGCGCCGGACTCCATGGGGGAGCGTCTTTTTAAAATGAGGGCCGAGAACCTGCCTTTCAAAGCGAGGGCCCTGGGGTCTCTGGGGCACCTGGACTCCGTGCAGAGAAGCTGTGTGCTCAAGAACGGCCTGCAAGGGGCGCGAGGACCAAAGCTGCACACGCTGAGAGCTGACCCAGCGATCCCTGCAGCCCAGGGGGCACTTGCTGGCGCTCCTGCCATCTTCAGAGGCTGAACTCTCCCTCTGGCAGTTACTCGGGCGACCCTTCCCGGAGCAGCGCGCTCGACTTACGCCTTTGCTGATGGGGCAGCCCTCGTAGGTCTCGTACGGCCCCTGCTCCTCCGCAAGCTCGCAGCTGGCTTCCAGCGCGCCATAATAAATGGTCTCGAAGATCTGCTGGTTGAGCAGCTGGGCCTCGGGGCTCTCGAAGGGGTAGCGCATCAGGATGAAGGCGTCGGCCAGCCCCTGCACGCCGATGCCGATGGGGCGGTGGCGTTTGTTCGAGTACTCGGCCTGGAAGGCACCAGAGAGGGCGGGATGGATCAACCGCTCGGCTCCGGGTTCGCGCAGGCGCCATTCTTGCCCGAGTCACAGTCACAGCGGGACATTCCTGGCACGGTCCTCCTTCCACCAGATCCCTCCAAACTGACTCGGGGTGCCAGGGCTTCCAGGCCACCGGTTTTGCTGACATGCACGACAGGGGGAAACTGAATTTGCACAAAGCAGTCCTCCTGGCTCACCCTCCTCAGAGCCCCGTCACCCAGCCGGAAGTGCCACCTCCCAGCAGCCAGTGCACCCCTGGAGCTCGTTCTCCAGCGCTGCTGTGGCAGCACCTCTAGGTGCCTGGAGAGCAACACAGGCCCAGCTGCCTGCCCTTTGCATGGCCCAGCAGAGTGGGCAGTGCCAAGGGGGGCTCCGGCACAATCCGGGATGCCTGAAATCGGCAGTATTCCAGACCAGAATGGCTGAACATGGGGATAAGCCCACCTCTCCCCGCCTTCCCCGCAAAGCAAGCAGGGGAGGGCCTGTCCGGAAGCCCGGCTGCAGCGGTCTTGCCCCAGTCACTGACTCAAACTGGCAGAGGCTGTCGGAAGAGGCAGCTCTCCAAAGCTTGTTCCAACTGCCGGGCCCATTTGGCCGCACAGATCCATTTCCCACACGGTCCTTCCAAAAGTATGTTGCAAATATGAAAGAAGAGTCCTCAATGTACAGTTTGAAGACACAAAGTTCAGTGCTTGTTCATGAACTAGCGAATGCTGTGATTTGAGCCACCTTGTGCCTGAAAGGGTCCAGCGGTGGGCAGCAAAAATGATCCAGGGTCTGGGAACACTGCCCTGTGAGGAGAGACAGAGAACTGGGCGTGTTCAGCCTTGAGAAGAAGAGACTGAGGGGGGACATGGTGTCCCTCTAGAAGTACCTGCAAGGCTGCCACAGAGAGGAAGGCCAAGGTCTCTTCTCGTTGATCGCAGAGTGCAGGACACGGAATAATCCGTTCAAGTTGCAGCAGCCCAGATTCAGGCTGGGCATCAGGAAGAGCTTCCTCACTGTCAGAGCAATACGGCAGGGGAACCAGCTGCCCGGAGAAGTGGGGGGCCCTCCCACACCAGACAGTCAAGGCGAAACTGGACAGCCACCTGAGTGGGATGGTGTGGCTTGGTATCCTGCAACAGCAGGAGGTTGAACCCGATGGCTGTCTTGGCCCCTTCCAATTCTGCTCTTCCATGATTCTATGAACACTTTAACCTGCAGTTTCTATATCTACCCGACTAAGTGTTCCAATTTACAGAAGACAGGTTTTTGCTTGGATTGGGAAGTCCCACAGCCCATTTCTGAAGAGTCAGCTTCTGAAGCCAAGCCTTGATTTAATAGGACCATAGTAGAGCCAGAGGGCGCCACTGAGTCCGCCCACCTGCTCAGCGCAGGGCTCCCAGTCCAAACATCTCTCTCGGAACACGGTCCAGTTGCATCCTGAACGCCTCCAGTGCGGGAGAGCCCCACATCTCCCTAGAGCATTCGTTCCACTGGCGAACTGCTCTAACGCTCAGGAAATCTCTCCTGATCCCTCGCCGGAACCCGGCCTCCTGTTACCTGAGGCTGCTATTCCGCGTCTGCACTCTGGGGTGACTGAGAAGAGACCCTGGCCTTCCTTTTGTGACAGCCATCCAAGCACCTGCAGAGCGCTACCCTATCGCCCCACAGCCTTCCCTTTTTGGGGCCAAACACGCCCAGTTCTTTCGATCTCTTTTTTCCCGGCCCCTGGATCATCCTCGCCACCCTCCTCTGAACCCTTCCGGCTTGTCAATGCAATCCGATTGCTTTGAGTTTCACCACAATTCTTGCCTGTCTCCAGGACTCAGGAATCAACCCAGGCCCTGATAGATAACGGTGTCAAAAGACATTTAAGGGGAGGGGTTTCAGAAGCTCACCAAGGGCCTCACAGAACCCCCCCCCCATGGAACCCACCATGCCTGGTGATTCGCCAGGGATCCACTTTTGTACAGCAATTTTGATTTCTTCCCCTGAAGGAGGTTTCCATAAGCTTCCGACAGGGGTCTCAGCGTGACTCCGGTTCTGCAACAGTGCAGGAGTCCACAGATATTTGAAGAAAAAGAGCAAGTCCCTGGAGGAAGCGCCCGATGGCTCTCACCGCGACTGCCCTCTTCCCCGCAGCATCCACGGCAGCACGACCAGGCCGGGCGGCTGGTGGCGAACCCAAGCAGGAGGGGGCATGGCACTCACGCCCTGCCTGTGGGCTTCCACCAGGGCGTCGGACCGGCCCGTGGGAACAGGATGCTGGGCAAGAGGCCCGCCGTCGGCCCGGCCCCGGGGCTCACCACAGGCGCTTCACACACACCTGTACCAAGGGATGTCTAAATGCTCGATGAGCATAGGAGGTGGGGTGGAAAGAAACCGCAGCGTGTGCTCAGCCGGCGGGCGAGGGACACAACGGCCCCGCCTTTTGCCTGGGGAAGCCTGGCGGGCGGCCGTGTCCCCGGGCTCCGCTGCTGGGGCGCTTGATCGGCGGCCTGCGCGCTCCCCTACACTGGCGGTGCTGCGGGGCGGCTGCGCCACCATCGGCCCAGGCCCCACTCCGCCGGCAGCAGCCCTCCTACCTCCGGCACAGGATAGTAGTTGATGTCGATGATCTTATTCAGATTCCGGACGATGACTTTGGTCACTTCTGCCAGCTTCTTGAAATCGTATGTGTGCTCCGGAGTGACGTACATGTTCAGGGCGATGGAGGCCAAGTTGCACACGGCCACCTAGGAGGCGAGCAGAAGAAACGGTGCCCGGCGCTCAAGCAGGGCGGGCGAGGGAGGCAGAGGAGACTGCAGGGCAACCGGCCCACGGAAGGCCTCCCGCGCCCCCCCCCCCCCGCATGCCACCAGCCATCCGGTGGCCAGGCGCTCCCTGCCCTCGCAGCTCCAGAAACCGCCCCCACAGGCCTGCGCAGGTGGGGCATTCCACCACTCGGCCCCCACAGCAACAGGAGGACTCTTAATTTAAATAAGAAGAGGGTACGCATTTTAAATAATAAGAGACTCCGGTTGGACTAGTGAGCTGCATATTAACCAATTTTCTCGAAATTTAGGCCTACTTGAATGAATTCGGCAAAAATGACCAGATGACCAGAACAATGAATCTCCCCCGCCAGCAGTCCTTCTTGCCCAAGCAGGGTCTCCCTCGGTCTTGCTTCTCAGGCTGCGGATGATGCTCAGAGCTCTCCCTTCGAGCCCCGTTCCCACCCTTCCCCGGCCAGGAATTCCACAGTGGAAGCATCTCTTGGACAACACTGGGTCCTGCCACCCGTGGATCTGACTGCCGAAGGGCAGGACACAGGGCACAGCAGCTCCCCCGCGGCGGCTCCCAGGAAGGCCAGGCTTCCCTCGCTGGATCCCGCTGAGCCAGAGGCGCCCCAGGGTCCCACGCAGCCCACCTCGTCCTGGCTCGTGTACTCCACGATTTCGGTGCACAGGTTGCTGCACTTGATGGTCCCCAGGTTCTGCTGGTTGCTCTTCCGGTTGCAGGAATCCTTATACAGCATGTACGGCGTTCCCGTCTCCGTCTGGGACTCTATGATGGCATACCAGAGCTGCTGGGCCTTCACCACCTTGCGCACACGCCCTTGCGACTCGTAGCTGCAGCACAGAGCGAGCCGCGCTCTTGAAAGGAGGCTCACAAACATCCTGTTTCCACCGACACGCTAAGCGCGTGAGCGGGTACAGGCACTCCGAGCGCCATGAGGCCTCCAGCCAGAGGAAGAGCTGCGCAGCAGGAGCACGTGAATGGCGGGCTCGACTCGCCTGCCTGCACGATGCCCAGCTGTGCCGCGAGCCCAAACAGGTCTGGCTGCCGTGACCTTCGCCAGGACGCCTCAGGAGTGCCGATCTGGGCACGTTCCGGAAAACCAGCTGGACACCCCTGAGGCCCCTGCATGAATTCAACAACTAGCTCCCCCCAGGGAAGGCCTGACGCTTAGAACAAGCTTACCTTCAGACTAACTAGCAAGGGATGTTCTGATTCGTGTAAAAACGAGACTAGACCCCGGGGGCCACGCAGACGCAGCCCGGAGGCAAAGCGGCTCCATTGTCCGCCCCAGGCCTGAAGTCTGGCCCGGCTCAGACGCCCCCCGACTCCTCTTACCTCTCATAGAGTCTCTCAAATTCCTCCCCCCAGACCTCGTCCAGGCCTGGGCATTCATTCGGACACATCAGGGACCAGTCCTGCAAGAGACGCACGAGGGTGAGGGGGGGCTTCCCTCTTCGTGGGGAAGGGGCTCCCCACACAAGGTGCCCCTTATCAAGAGCGGCCTGCCTGCAACCCCACCGAAAAGCTGCTCAGTCTGGGAAAGCTAGTGCGGCTCCAGCAGTTTTGGTGGGCAGGCAAGCAAGCGGTAAAGCACCCCGGCCCCTCACCATTTCTCTCTAAGCTTCACAAATGAACAAAGCATCCTGCGAGGAAGAGTTCGGAGCCAGGCAACCCTTGTGCCTCAAGCCAGAACACACGTTACAGAGCGACACCCGGGAGCAGGGCTTGTGGAGCATCATCCAGCGCAAGACCACCGCTTTCTAACATTGAGCTGGAACTGACAAGCGGTTGCTGGATGCGAGTTGCCGCGCAGGCACCCGTCATCTGTCGCCCTGACGCGCTGCCAAGCCATCTCCGGCTGATGACAGCCCTCCGAGTAGAAGCCTCCAAAGTGTCCCGTCAACGACATCCCAGCTCAGCTGTTCTAAACTAAAGGCAGCGGCTTCCTTTACGGAGCCGGTCCAGCTCACGCTCGGCCTGCCTTCCCACCGCCTGCCTTCAATCTCAGTGGGCCGTAATTCCACAGAAACAGCGAGAGGAACGGCAAGACTAGGCAAACCGGGGTTCCTCCTGAACTCCGGTCCTTCGCTGGGCACAGGCGACAGGAAGGCATCCTGACAGAGAAGCTGCGGCTGAGGCAGCATAGCCGAGCTCCCGCTCTTTCGAGGAGAGGCTCCACCGACATGTCAAGGCAGAGCAATGCCGCCGCCGCCGCCGGCCCAGCCTCCGTACGGGAGCCGGCAAATGCGCGGGGTAAAGCCACGCTCCCCACCTGGTTGGTCTCCACTCGCTTCATGAAGAGGTCCGGTATCCACAGGGCATAGAAGAGGTCCCGGGCACGCTGCTCCTCCTTCCCCGTGTTTTTCTTCAGGTCGAGAAACTCGAAGATGTCAAAGTGCCAGGGCTCCAGGTAGATGGCGAAGGCCCCGGGTCTCTGGCAAGGCAAACGGCACCGAGCGCAGGGCAGCTCATGAGGCACGCCTCCGCGGCCGCCCCGCTGCAGGACGCGGGAGAAGCAGCCCCTGCCTCGCCGTGGAACAGGCTCCCGGGACCCCGGCTGCCCTCACGCCCCCCCCGCAGGCCTCACGGCCTCTGGGCCGACCACTCAGCTCCCAAGCACCGTCCACTGCATTACGCTGGGGACCTGACTGGGGGCGCTTCTCCACTTGCAAAGCTCTTTGGAGCCTCGCATTACTGGCTGACCTGTGAGGGAAGCGCAGCCCCAAGAACAACCCCATGGACATCAGCCCTCCCGTCGTGCGCGGGACGCGCGAGCGAGGAGGACGACTAGTTGGCATGGGTGGCTTTGAGCAAGTCCCAGCGGGGAAGACCCTTAAAATGGGCCACTCTGAGTGAGGACCGCTGCAGGTGCGGCAGGAGCACGCAGAGCCAACTCTATGCAGTCAAACTCTTCCGTCTGAGCTTAAAAGAGTGTGAGGACTGCCCCGCCCTGCCTGCACCTCAGGGCCAGGCGGACACGGCCCCAGGCGGTCGGGAGAGAGCGCCTCTGCAGCACGGGACTGCCCTGCCGCGATGCGAGCCGGAGGTGTCCCGGTGGGAAAGGAGGGGCCAGAACGCTGCCAGGCACCGATGAGGCACTGGCGCTGTGCGGGGAGGCCAATAAAGAGGAAAGGCCGCTCTCCTTGAACGCGTGTTCAGAGCAGGGGAAGGAGAGTCACGCGGGAAGCGGCTCGGGCTGACCCCTCGCCCCCACCCAGCACATGCCGCCTTGGAAGGGGCCAGCATACCTTGTTGCCACCTTGGTCGACGTAGCGAGCCGTGTTGTTGTACACCCTCAGCATTGGGACCAGCCCGTTGGAGTTTCCATTTGTCTGCAACAGAAAGGTTTCAGAAATCAGCTTGGCACGACGGAGGCACTGCCAATGTCCATTTCTCCTACAGAGGCAGGTGCCCCAGGACCTGGCGGAAGCACGAGACGCTGCAGCAGCGGCAACCGAGGGCCCCAGAAGGAGCAGCTTCACAGCAAAGGACACCGGCTGGGCTCCACCGGCGGACTCACCCCCGCGATGTAGCTGCCCGTGGCACGAATGCAGCTCACCGCCACCCCGATCCCGCCAGCTGACTTGGAGATGAGCGCGCAGTGCTTCAGCGTGTCGTAGATCCCTTCGATGCTGTCGTCCTTCATGCACAGCAGGAAGCAGCTGAGCAGAAGGAAAAGGAAGCGGAAGGTTTATGGGCCACAGGGTATGACAGGTGGCACTCCTGTTTGCATCCAGAACCACGCAGAAGGCAAAAGTAATCTCAGCAGAACTTTTCTCTTTCCAAAACAATAGGCTATCAGGATGAATTAATTTCTCGTGCAAGGCTTTTCTTCGTGTAAGACACATCAACTTAGCAAAGTGCCCTCCCCCCGCAACTGCCTGGGCCATGGCAGCAGCAAGCGAGCAGAACCCACCCCCCGAGTCGGCAGCGACCACGCCGTGCAGCAAGCATGGGATCCGTGACGACACAACCGGGGAGCCATTCCCATCGAGAGCACGACGGGGCAGCTGCCCACGCCGTCGCCCGCTGGGACCGCGCGGCTCAAAGACCACCCCTCGGCCAGGCCGTCCTGCGGCCGCGGGTGCTGCTGCTTTACCTGGAGAGCTGGGGGCGGTTGGTGCCGGCGTTGAAGAGCGTGGGCGACGCGTGGGTGAACCACTTCTCGGAGAGCAGGTTGTAGGTTTCGATTGCGGCATCGATGTCGTCCTTGTGGATTCCCACCGCCACCCGCATCAGCATGTGCTGGGGGCGCTCAGCCACTGGGTGCCAGAAGTATGAAAGCACATCACTGGCTGCACCCGGGCCAGCAAGCGCTTCTGCCACCCCGAAGACTGGGCCCGAGCGGCTTTTACCACCACGCCTACTTCTGGTGCCTTCCTGACGCAACAAGGTATGCTGTTATCTTGCTATATGTTGTTATGATATAGCCCCCTTACAAGCAAGCAGCAGCAGGAGCCACGTGTAACAGCTTAAAACAGCTTCCCGCCCCCACCTGCAGTTGCTACGCAAGGAGATACGTAAAGAGCGTGTGCTTCTGATGCCCCCAAAAGCCGCGACTCAGAAGGTCTTGAGACCTGGCCAGAGAAGAGGGCACCACAGGAAGCCACGTCCCTGGCAGCTCTGGGGGTGTAAGTTGCAAGCAGCCTCAGGTGGGACCGGAGACGACAGAGGCGGGTGAGGAATGTGGCAAGGCGCAGGAGGGGGGAGCGGGCGCGGGCAGGAGCCGAGACAACCAAGGCAGGTTGGGGAGCAGAAACCAGGCCAGGGAGCCACACAACCGCTCAAGGATGTGTGGCGTGGCAAAGCTGGGCAAGCTTCGATGACCCCTCCCGGGGCTTCCAGCTGGCCCTCGTGACTGCTGGCCCCGGGCCAGTCCTTGAGAGCCCCGGCAGGCCCAGCCCTGTCGTGCCAGAGAGCACCTGGCTGCCCCCTAGGCCAAGCAGCCGGGGGGCCGCACTGTTCGGCAAGCCTGAGGGTCATCGGGCAGAGCGCTACTCCCTTATGAGCCGAGCCTCAAATCATGGAGCCTTCTCTTCTGGGAAGCCACCACGCTATCGGTTCGAAGCATTCATAAGCCCCCTTTAATCAGCGATTTCGAGACCATTTTCAAATCGTATGCATTTCCATACAGGACCGAGCAAAAGTCAGGTAAGACTCACCTTTGGAATTGATTTTCAGCAGATATGAGCGCTCAAGAGTCTTAAAGAGGGGAGAGAGAAATAAAAGGTTTCCCATCGTCCGAGTGTACAGGACTGGTGGCGTTCAAACAAGAACAACGACAATGAGACGGCAAGAATTACGAGTAGATCTACCAACAAAGGGCAGCCAGTTCATTCCGGTCGTGCCAGCAGCACCGGGAGGTGGCTCAGGCCAGCGTCTTTCACGCCGCCCTCTGGAAGCCCTGTGGCTCCTGAGAAGCTGCCCGGGGCTCCTCAGTGGAAAGGCCAGAACGAGCAGGCCGGGGCACCCGAAGGACAGGGGCACCCGGGCAGCCGCAACCAGCTTTCTCGGACAAGAGCGGCAGCCTGTGGCCGGCTGCCTGACTGCACAAGCCCCACACAGGCGGCCAGTTCAGACCCACAAAAGCACAACCTGCCCCCCCCACACCCCTGCGCAGGGACGGAGGGAGGGGGCCAGCGGGAACAGGGAGCCGCTGCAGCCATTTCTGGCACACAGCCGAGAGGTTTTCCCAGCAGCAGCAGGAAGGTTCCCCGTCCAGCCTGCACACACCAAACCCGCAGCCTAAAGCCACCCAAAGTCCGTTGCTGCAGCTCAAGGGAACGCCACGAGAAACGTTTTCCCTCGGCACACGCCGGCACTGAGAACGCTGCCTAGGGGCAGGAAGCCTGAAAACGCTTCTGCGGGGGCTGACCTATCCGAACTCCACTAGAGGGACTTCTGGGTAACACAGTACTGGGGTGGCCACGCAGCAAGTTCAAACCCAGCGGAAGCCGCTGGCCCCAACTTGCCCTCACACGACCGATGAGCGCGTTCCGTCTGGGCTCCTACAGCGAGAACACACATCCCACCCAGGCTCAATCGCCACTGTCAGCCTCATGAAAGGCCAGCTAATTTTACCTTGAAGCCAAAGTAGTTATAGGAGAAATCCCGATCATAAATTATGGCAGAGTTCAGTCGCTGGGGAAAGAAACAGCATGTCAGCCCCAACATTCAAATTAAGTACCCTCTCTCCAGTCTAACATGGCAGCTGTTGCGGTGCGTGCACCAAGCCAGAAAGTCCTCCTGAGGTTAAATGCTCTAGATTTTCCATATCAATATTCCTCCAACTAGAAAGCAAGAGGCAAAGCGATCTTTATTTCCCATCCTCCGAAAACCACAGGAGGTCTCCTGGCTTTGCTCAGCCATGCCGCCACATCTAGAGTATTCTGTGCACACCTTTAAAAAGCAGCATTGCTTTCCCGCCTAAGAAGCGGAAGACCTGATCTACGCAAATGTTCTGCTTTAGCAAAGCAGCAATCCGAGCACGGCCCCGGTGATCTGTGTGGAAAGGCCACAGAAAGCACGTACTCGCAAGGCCTGCGAATGCAAGGCAGCAAGATCTGTGGCTATCATGAATGCGCAGAAGGCAGCGGCGGCGCAAACGTCACGTGGCCTGCATTTGCTGTGCACTCAAGACGGCTGGGCATTCCTGTGTGCTTCCTGGCCACCTCCCAAAATGGAAGACACTCCCTCCCTCTCTTCCATCCGTCCCTCCTTCCTTCCTGTGCCTGACACTCATCCCTCCAAACGCCAAGTGAAAGCCTCAGCTGAGGCTACAGTCCGCGCCCGCCTCACACTGCTTCCCCCACTTTCCCTCAGAGGACTAGAGCGACACTCAGGGCGGCTGTCTGAACGTGACTTACGTCTTTGTTGGCTAAAACGATGTGCAGAGTTTCCTTAGAGATCATCGGGGAATGCTTGCCGTTGTGCGGGTTCACATAGTTGTACAGATCTTCCATCACATCTAAGAAGAGGCGGGGACAAAACGAAGTCCCGTGAGGCACTCCAAATCGATCGCGGCAGAACCGACCCCCACAAACCACCCGTGGCAGAAACGAGCCCTGCAGGGTCAGACCGACGGCCCACCCAGTCCCGCCTGCCACACAGGTCCCCCCAGCAGGGTGGGAGCACGACCCCCACCTGCCAGCTCCCCAGCCACTGGCGTTCACAGGCAAGCAGCCCCTGGGGCAGAAGGCTGCACGCGCCCCAGGGCCAGTGGCCACGAACAGCCCCCTCCCTCCTGTATTTGCCCAGGCCCCTTTAAAATCCATCACCACTTCCCGTAACTATACTCTTGTAAGAAAAATTATTTTCTTTGATCTGCCCTAAACCCCCAGCCAGTCGGCTCCATGGGATGGTCCCGGGTTCAAGCGTTAGAGGGAAAGAAGTGCCTCTCTCTCCACACCACGCATTATTTCAAACTCCTCTACCCTGTAGATGCTGCAGCAGTTTGCCTAGAGAGACTGTACCACTTAACCTGTGGTGAAGCCCCACACGTGGGGTATGTGCGGCTGCCCCGTGCAGAGCACACAAACTTTGCTCGGGGGCCGCTGTGTCATGCAAACCCAGCAAGGATTAAACCACGATCTGTTTCTGGGTTATGCAAGAGCTGTTTGAAGCCGCTCTTCACGAGCTAAACAACCCACCAGTGGGCCAGGCATGTTGCGCCAACCCAGTTGCGGCCTGTCTTCTGGATAGCAGCCTCGCGAAGGCTGTTACTCCCATATGCAGCTCCCCAGCTTGGCCTCTCTTAATCGTTTAAACTGCTACTACCAGTTCCAATCGTTCCATGCAAACTCGATACTACCCTATGTCCCCAGGCGGTTTTATCGCAATGTGAATTAAATCCCGACCGTCTCTCCGGGCTCGCATTTTGCCGGCAACATGCTTCCAATGCACCCCCAAAGCGCCAACGTGGGGCAAATCAATGCAGGCACCGGGCCCCCACTCACCACTGAAGACCTTCTTGGTTTCCTTGTGCAGGTTGGAGACGGCTATCCTGGCTGCCAGGATGGCGTAGTCCGGGTACTTGGTCGTCAGGGTTGCTGCTGTCTCTGCGGCCAGCGTATCCAGCTCTACGGTAGTGACGCCACTGTAAAGGCCCTGGATCACTTTCATAGTGATCTGGGCCTAGTCAGAGCAAAGCATCACCAAGTTAGCTGGGTATACTGATATATACAAGCAATTCTCCCATGCAAGTTGAACTGAAATGTACCTGCTCAGTCTTCTTACAGCACATCAAATGCCTTAAAACCTCTCTCTGCTAAAAGCCCGAATATCTCCACTTTACTCCCATTATGCAGACCAAGATTTAAACATGATCAAAAAGAGACTCATCCAAAGCTTCTCCATGACTCCAGGACAAAGCTGGGCTTTGAAGCCAGGTCTTATAGGCCTAACTACCATGCTAACCCAGATGGAAAGAACAGCAATCAGCTTCCGGACACTCCTTTTGCTAGAGAGCTGGACAGCATTTTCTCTGGCAAAGCTTTCCACCAAAAGGTGGTTAAAGTAACAACAAGTTTGACTGCCATGATGAGAGAAACAGGCTGCTACTCAAGGAGGAAGAGGAATGCCCCAGAAAGCAGAGCAGTGGGCAGATATCAGCGGGTTAATCAGGCAGATATTTCCCTCAGAAGTACAGGGCTTCAAACTTGAATAGTGCAGCCTCTAGGTGGAACCATCACAAAGGGAAAGATTCAGAGGTAACCAGAGTGCTTCTGATTTGACCTAAACCAACAGGCTTGCCAGGGACGCAAATGTAATGCTCACGCTGTCACCCTGTGCGGCTATTTTGTGCAGAAAGGTGGGTCTTACATTGCAAAATAAAATATGCAGATGCCTCTAATGTGCAGATAGAAACAATGTGCTGCTCAGTCTACTTAAGGTATCACGTGCGGTTTCTGCGCATAAACCGGAGCTACAAAGGTTCAGAAACTGTGAGGGCGACGCTGGCAAAGACTGTTGTCATGTGCCCTCCAGCTCCCTCTGGCCCGGGGAGAGCCTAGGGCCGCACGATCCTCCGGGAGGCCCTGTCCTCGCAGCCCGCTCAGCTCCCCCCCCCCCCGGCAACGCCAGGCCGGGGCTCCCTGCCTGGGCCCGGGCGCCCCCTTCCCGCCTTCGGCTTTGCCCGGCAGCGCCGTCCTGTCCCGGGAGCGCGGCCTCCTCGTGGTGCCCGCAAGGCACGGCCGCTGCCTGCCTCCTTCCGAGACCCGCCAGCTAGTTTTGCGCCTTTCCCAACAACCGAACCGCTCTGCCCCGCGGCGCCCGAAGGGCCGGGCCCCGATTCCGGCACGTTCCTTCCCGGCGGGCCCGCGGGCGCAGCTCGCGAGGGGCGGCGGGGGCGGCACTTGCCGGGTCGACGAAGTCCAGGTTGAGCCCGTAGCACAGCTTCTGGATGCGGGAGGTGATCTTGTCGAACATGACCCGCTCGTGGCGCCCGTCTGCAAGAGAGGCGCCCGTTGCTGCGGCGGCGGCGCCCGCGGGCCCCAGCCCCGGCCCGCCGCTCCCCGCCGCCGAGCCGGGAGGGCCCCGGGCCCGCGGCAGCCGGCAGGGCGCCCT